GATTCACAAATGTCTGAGATTTCTTTCATCTGGATTAGATTTGCATTGTTCTTTAAAAACCACAGAGCACATAAACAGGATCGGTTCCCTGTTTTTAAGACGGCACCTCACGATGTATCAAAAATGCCTCCCCACTGCTGTGATAAGGCCTGGACTGCGCTGTAGGAGGAGTCATCTTTCCGATGAGACATTAAACCAAGGTTACCTGACCGCCCGGTCATTAAAACACCCCATGTCACTGTGAGAGTAGGGGGTGTTAACCCCTGCATTCCACTCTGGGCTTGTACACTCTGCTCTGTCTGAATTTTGACCTGGCAAAGACCTTCCACCTCCACCTGAGCTGACAGTGGGGCTGTTGGCGCCTCATCGCATAACAGCTGCCACGTGTCACCTGTCCCCCACCTCCTGCGTGTGAAGCGTTTTTGGATCCTTCGGGAGGAAAAGGGCTTTACAAAGGCAAGCAGTCAAATAATTTGGAAAGAAAAAGGCTTGCAAATGGAATGAAACAGAAAAGGACGTGCGCCCACCCCCCTCCAAAAGTACAGTATCTGTCCGTCCGTTTTCCAACCATAATCAGATAGGCGGGAGAGGCAGAGCCTGTCCCAGCAAGCAGCGCTCGTAAGGCAGGGTACGCCCTGGATGGGATGCCAGTCCATCACAGGGCACAGACAGACACAAAAACACACACTCCCACCAGGGACTCACAACAACGCCTTTACTTCCTCGGACAACTGAAAAAATCTGGACTGTCTTCGGCTGTCCTTACCACATTTCGCAGGTGTGCTATTGAGAGCTTGCTCACATGTGGCGCTCACGTGTGGTTTGGCAGCAGCTCGTTGTTTGGCCGGAAGGCATTACAGAGGGTGGTCAGGTCAGCCCAGTCCATCATCGGAGTACAGCTCCCCTCTATTGCAGACATTTTTACTACTTGCTGCCTCAGGAAGGCTGGACGTATCATTAAGGACACCAGTCATCCTGGTTCCTCATTTTTCTCCCCCCTTCCCTCTGGTAAGCATTATAGGAGCATAACGGCACAAACGTCCAGACTCGGAGACAGTTTCTTCCCACAAGCTGTCAGATGACTAAACTCTACCCCTACCACTGGCTCACACTGATGTGTTCTTTTTTTTTTCCCCCTAAGATGGATGTTATTTCACTTGTTGTTGCTGCTGCTGCTGCTGTTCTGTGTTTTTGGTATTTCCTTAATGTCTTGCACAGGCCATACAGGCTAATAAGCCTTTCATTGCACTTGTGCATATGACAATAAACTGAACTCTGAGTTTCCTAGAAGCCATCTGACCCTACCAGCTTGTCTTTGGACTGGGGGAGGAAACCAGAGCAACTGGAGAAAACCCCCACGAACTTGGGGAGAACATGCAAACTCCACACAGACAGCACAC